TTTCACTCTCAACTGATACACTACACACAATTTATTTTTCTATCTTTTGATTCTATCTGCCCCTGAATAGTATGTCCGAAAATAGTTTCTGCAATGTATAAATGTTTTCCAATTTTTCCTACAATACCTAATTGAATTTGCCATAAAAAGTCTGACCCTAGTAAAATAGTTATTTCCCGTTCATGCCCTGTATCAGCAGGATTAAATCCTCTCATTTTCAAGCGTTGAATCAAACCTTTGTCTGGAATTTTGACTGTAGCGCCAGTTATTTTTTCAACTACCAAGGCTTCAATATTTATGGAATTGCTTGGTTTGCGAAACATTTTGTAATTCAAGAGAAACTACGTCAAATGATGATTCTTGTGGTTTTCGTCCGCCAAATGAATATACTAATAAATTTTCTTTTCTAATAGGCTTTTTTAAATTCAGTTTTCTTACTAAATTTTCTTTTATAAAGCATTTTTCTGAACCACTATCACACAAAACCCTTGCATGGATTCTGTTTTCACCACCAGAGACACATACAATACAAGTTTGGAGTAATGTAGAAATAGTTTTATTTTTCTGTTCAGAAACGCAAGATACTAAGGTTGTGGATTTATCTGCGTTAATATTTTCAGGACTTTCATGTTTTTCTGATTTATTACAGAACAGCTCATTGTGAAATTTATTACCACATTTCGAACATGGGGTTAATTTACTTTTACAGTTAGAAGACAGGTGTGATTTTAAGAAACACTTGTAACAGCGTCCTCCCTTCTTCAATTTAAAACGTTTCTCTTGGTCTGTATACCTTTTACAACCCAAGCTTGTATGATCTGAAGAGTCACAAAATACACAAAATATTTTTATAGAAGTGTTCAAGGCAGCAGCCGAAGGAACACTTTTCTTAGAAGAAAAGTTCTGATTATATTTTTGTTTGGAATTAAAATTAGTGTAAGTGTCATGTATTTTATTACTAGAAGAATTATTTACTATATATGTGGCCTCACGGGCACGTAAATCTTCTCTTATAAATTCCAATAGGTCATTGACCTTATACTCATTTTCTGTATTATTTTTCTTATGAAATTCTAGAACCATGTTTTCTGGTAACAATTTTAACAGTATAGGCAAAAGTAGATGCCCGTATGAACCTGTTGTTACCCCCATTGACTTGAGATTTCTGATATGTATTTCACATTTATCATACAGATTTCTAAGTCCCCTTATATTATTTGATGATTTTACTGGCTCTAAGTTCAAAATTTTATTTATATGACAGTTTATGGTTGTACCCACCTACCATATCTTTCATTTAACAATTTTAGGCATTCATCATAATTTTCATCAGTGAGATCAAACCCTGATACGACATTATATGCAGTACCTGTCAAAAGAGATTTCAGGTATTGAAATTTACTTATTTTTGACAAAGAATCATTGTTATCCACAGCATTCTTGAAACAGTTAATAAATTCTAAATAAGTGCTGGGATCACCTGAGAACTTTTCAATATTTAATTTCGGCAACTTAACTGCCGCAACAAATTTACTTTCGATTACAGGAGTTACAGGTACATTTTGAACTACGTTAACTTCGGTATCTGCTTTACATTTTCTTAACCTATTCTTAATTTTGGATTTCATACTCAAAATTTTATGAGAGTATTCTTCAACCGATTTTAATCTTTTTCATATTCAGCTTTATCTTCAATCAATTTATCTATCTCTTTATCAATTTCATTTAAAGAATTTTCTTTTTCTGACAAAATATCCTGACACTCTAACAAGGAATCTGTGTCAGTTCTTTCAATCGCTGCTACCAGCAAATCTTCTGCTTTATTTATTTGTTTAGTGATTGCAGATCTGATAGCAGCTCTTTTCGACTTTAATTTGTCTATATTTTCCATATTTCAAGTAATGGAATATAACCTTATAAAATTCAACAAATAATTGTAACAAAAATTAAAGTACAGTATTTCAATATTTTAAGCACTTCCTTTAAAAACAATATTTATAGTCCACAAATTTCCTTCGATTAAGATTAAATTTTTTTCAAGCATCAATGAAGTATTATTCTTTCAAGTAATATTTCAATAAAACAACATAAATATTCAATACTTTTATTTAACTCAATCATTATTTTTCAAGGTTGAATACTTCAAGAATGAAAAGAAAATGGCTTACCTGATATTTTCAGGTATCCTTCCATTATTCCAGCATAGAAGATATTCAATTCAACTATATTCACTTTCGATTTTGTAATATCTAAAGGTCCGGGAATTTCGGCACCAAAAAATGTATAAAACTTGTGCATTATGATCACGATTCACGAGTTGGGAGAGCATCAATTTATAATCAAGAATATACTAGTATAATCAAGAGTCACTATACCATTTTCCCATAAAGACTCAACTTGAGAATAAGAACTTCCATTTGAAGAAATATTTAATGAAGAGCTTATGTACATTATTTACATTGTTCAAAGCACAAAATTTACATATAATATAAATTTCCCCACCATAGGGCCAAGATTAGTTTATCAAGAACAATTATTATAATTGTTGATTACCGCCATGCGGCCAAGAACAGATCATTTGAAGCATCGCACTCAAGCTAAACTAAAAGAATTATTACATTCTTTCTCTGCCGCCAGTCACGTGACCTAGTTGGCAACAGACGATAAATAATAAAAGAAAAATTGGTTCCATCGGAGGGAAAAAGAAATAATTTCAACAAGAATGTTAATTTTGAGGTTGCCAAATATTTTTAAATGTCTAGGACATTGGTGGGATATTGACTGACCATCACCCATCAAGGCAGCTTCACAGCAGAAAGATGTAATCAAGGGAACCCTTTTTTTTTTTTTTTTTTCTATTAGACCTCTTTAGTTATCATCCAGGACACTATGTAGGGTATGTCTTGCAACAGGCTGTTATGTTATTGAATGCATCGCTGTATTGCCCTCCATTTCTAGATACTTTGAGAAGCTTACAATTCAAGAGGATAACCCAGCCACTTGCAGCAGTTATTTTAATTGATTAACTTTATGTAGTCTGTTTTATTGAGTTGAACTTTATGTAGATATATATATATATTTTAAATCCCCTTCCCAATAGTGAGCTCTTGTTTAGTATTGGTCTCTCCTAAGGCCAAAGTGGTGGCCATTTTATTGGCATATATATATATATATGTCATATGTGGAGGCAAAGGCACCTAATAAGTGGCCACCATTTCCTTTCTCCTGGATTCAAACCCAGACCCTCTGCAACCACATTAGGCTCCCCTAACCACTGTACCATATGGGCAGCATTTTAAAATGCGAGTTATTTATTTCTTTAGGTTGCTGAACTATGAAAGGAAAATAAAGTAAAACTCATGAAGAGCATACTATTAAGCCACATTTCACCATTTCATTTTCTGTGCAGTTGGTTTCTGGATAACTAACACATAATAATTAAGGATAAGTGGAAAGAAATTAAATGTAATGGAATTAAAAATTATATGAGTAATTAAATAAATTAATGGAATTATTTTCATTTATTTATTTTTAATTGCTTAAAAATAGTTTTTATTGGTGCCATCTAAAAAATAAATAATGAAAAGCAGTAGATTGTGTACTACATAATTACTAATATTTCTGTGGCCAGCTAGATCACCTGATTTGTCCTCAATAGGTACCCATTTAAGGTCTAATGAGTTACCCCTCCAGTTAGTTATTCCATAATGTCATTGACATTTGGATATTTGGCAAGAAATCCCACAGAAGGTCATATACCAACTCTGGAACGTAATGCCCAACCATATAACTGCTTGTATAATGGCCAGAGGTCAGCCAGTGCCTTATTAATTTATTTGCTGTAATATAATTGACTCCAAATAAAATATTCTTTCTCTGAAATATTGTTTCTTTCTCCTTAAATATGCATCATATTTACTGAAATTTGTCCCTTTTAGATAAATTGTTTTTGGTGCATCCCCCTTTTTTAAATGTGTTATGTCTCTCTCTCTCTCTCTATATATATATATGTATGCCATGTTTATAGTTATGAATCTATAAAATCATTGCTTGGAGAAAAACACATTTAAATATTTGCACATGTTTAAGGAAAACTGAGTTATGATTTGTACGTAGAATATGTATCTCTTTTGAATGCAAATTTTGATGAAGTAGAATATGCATCTCTTTTTCTTAGCATAAAATACTGAAAGCTAACAGAGAAAATATATATATGTAACAGAACTATTTAAGTGTAATTGAACTATTTTATTCAACGCCATGAACTCATGAACTGTAACCGAACTATTTTTATTTAAACGCGATCTCGTGGCGATATGAAAAAACGTCAGTCGACCTCCAGCCGCCATGATGATATTTTACTATGTTATGTTATTCAACTGTTTGAAGTTCCATTTGGTATATGTTTCATTTTTATGTATATTTCTTTTGTTTGTAATCGTTCCTGTGTGCTCTGTTAATAATGGCGGCTAGCTGGATTTATTAACAGAGCACACAGGAACGGTTACAAACAAAAGAAATATACATAAAAATGAAACATATACCAAATGGAACATCAAACATTTGAATAACATAACATAGTAAACTATCATCATGGCAGCTGGAGGTCGACTGACATTTTTTTCATATCGCCACGAGTTCGCGTTTAAATAAAATAGTTCGGTTACAGTTCTTGAGTTCATGGCGTTGAATAAAAAGTTCTGTTACATATACATGAAAAAGTGGCAAAATATACAGATTTATATTTTCTGATGGAGCCAATAATATAATTAAATGTATGTGTTATTTTAAAGTTAAATGAAAAGGGTGTAAATTAAAAATTTGCAAACTTGATGAATAAATTTGACTCAAAAATTTATTTCATTTTGATAGCAATTAAAGCAGTTTTATAGTTGCCTCTATTAAGGTGATTTGTTATGTGAACAAATTTTAAACTCTTGTAAAATAATCTTCCTAGAGTTGTGATTTGTTTAATTAAAGTATATTAATTTTCTAAATAGACCTTTTTCATAATGGTGATGCAACAGCAAAGCGAGACTACTTATATTACTTGGCTGTTGGACATACGAAGCTAAAAGTAAGTATAGAATGAAATAATAATGATATCAAAAGCAGTGTCATGTTTAATATTTTGCAGAATATCAGTCTGTGTTTAAAAAAAAAAAATGTATGTTTGATGTATTATATTGTTATACTGTTAATATATATGTAATGAATTGCTGTGATTGTTTAATAATTTTTTTAAATGTCTATATAAATAATGTCAATTAAGTCATGTAACTTTCAAATACAGTGTTTTATCTGTTTACAAGTTGCATGACTCGCACTTAATTTTAAAAGATGCTCAAAATTCAGTAAATTTATTTTTACTGTGCTGGGAAATGTTTACTTAAATTTTAAGTAAATAAAAATATGCTGTTTAGGTTTTGAACGTACATTGTTGTAAAAAATCTGTATTGTTAATTATGTCATAAGTTAAAAATGTAGCTGACAAATAAACAAGAAACAATTTTCGGTTTGAAGGGACAAAATGTATCATTGCTTTTAAAGCAAAACTAAACTAATATATTTTTTTTTTAAGAAAGGAAACATAAATAAATGTTTTTAAGTGTTTTAAACATGAAGAGAAGGAAGGTTTCTGAATACAAAAGCCAAAGTTTCAATAAAAATTGAAATTTTCATTTAGTTCTGTAACTGATGGTGTAGAAATCTTTCAAGCTGTGAGCACACATCTGCTCAAAGATTGAGCAATCATATGCACTTGACAGGAACAGCTGACAGATGTTTCAGTCTTATTTGCTAGTAGTTGCTTTTTTTTTTTTTTTTTTTTTAATTTATTTTGCAGTGATGTTCTAATAACATATTAAATGCAAAGGTTTTATGATTAGAAATAGATTTACTATAGGTTTCAAGTTTATTATAATTTTTTATCAGTTTTACATTAATTATAATGAAAACTGGAGGGGGAGGAATAAGGAATATATATGGAGAATAGTTTATAAAGGAATATGAAATTAGTATAGTTTAGTGTTTTATTAATAAGCAAAGTATTTTTTATATATATACTTGTCTGCAACATATAAGGTCCAAAGGATAAAATATCAAGAATTAGGAAAAGTGGCATTTTTTTTTTAGTCTGTTTTTGTAATTCTGAATACTAAATGAATTAATGGTACCAAAGATTCACTGTTAAGCAATCTTGCCATTTTCCAAAAGAGCCTAAAATTTTTAGGATTTCATTCATTCTTATTCTTTAATTTGCTTTTAAATAAAAAAAAAAGAAAGATAAATTGTGTATATGTTCATTCATAATTATATAAATATATTTTAACCAGTGGAATTTTAACACTTATGAAATCAGATGATTTGCAAAGAAGTGTATATAAAAGATGAGATGGTATCAGTGCTGTGTAATGTGTGTATGACAGTCTAAATAAAATTAAGCATTATGAAAGGGCTAACATAATTGAATAATTACATCAGTACAATTTAGTAAAAAAAAAAAAAAAAAGAGAGATACAGACAGTGAAATAATCTATTAATTTAATAAACAACGTTTGTTTCTGTACAAGTAGAATGAGTGAAAGTGAATTTTAATAATGATTAAAAATTCTTGTATTCTAATGCACACCCACAAAATGTTTAAATTATGTAACAGGTTTGCATGATATGATATTATGACCAAGTACTGAATTGTAAGTAGCTGTTGAATACAAAGTCATACCAAGCAGAGAGTCTTGGTATTTGAACTTCACCTCAAAAAATTTGAACTTTCCTGTTGTTCTAGTAGCCATTGATAAGAGATTTAGTGAGTTTGCTAGTTTTATGATCTGCTGTACATCGGAGGATGTGGTACCCTTAAGTTTGCATGAAATGAATCTATCGAAAGCTGTCCATCTTGTTTGGTAGTGTTTTTTCTTTAAAAATGACATACTAAACCAGCGGAGAAAAATGAAAGAAAGAAGGAAGGGGAGAAAAAAAAAGTTGGCTACTTTCTTAATAGACAGTGTTCTGCCCCAAAACTCTATGCAGCTACTGATATTCAGAATCTGCTAGGTATATTCTGTATGTCTTTATATACTCTAATCTAAATTTAATAGTAATGGTTTTAAATATATTTCATTAAGTATTAAAGTTTTAAGCATAAATGAATAATTTTCATAGAATATCTAGTTTGTGCATGAGATCTTAGAAAAAAGTTACTTTTGGGTTCGTCATAGAATTATTTTTAATTGAAAACTCTGCATTTGCTCACTTGAAATTGCAGCATTTACATACACACCCAGTTTAGTTATTTTCCTATTCTATCTTGAAATAGTAAGATGCTTATAATAAATCCCTGTGTGCTGTGTTCTGTCACAGTATTCCTACATAACAGCTGCAATGCATATACAGCAGTGCCTTCTGCACTCCGGGCAATTTGGTCCACTAATATCCCAGACTATTTAAAATCTAACTAATTAAGGTACTAAATACATACAAAAAATAATAATTGGTTCCAAAAAACTTTTTAAAAAAAGCACTTTGGTACTTTTCTAATTATCCATAACCCCTCCTGAAAAGTTGCTAGTCATTGTTTGAGTGATTTTTGCCAAGCTAAGATATAATAGATAATAGTCATTTTTAGCAAGGCAGCTCCAAGAATCTCATTAATTGGTCACTAATTAACAAGAATAAAAATTCAGGAGACATCCATAGTAAAATATCCCCCCCCTTCTTTTTTTTTTACACTGTTCTTCCCTCGCACACAATGATTTATTTTAGCTTCAAAAAGCATCGGAGAATTTCAAAAACTCAAACACCATACACAACTTGTCTCTATGTACTCTGTTGTTTCCTCCATGTATACAGCAATCTGTTTATTATTATTATTATTATTATTATTATTTATTTAAAAAAAGGGGGGATTTCACAAGTTTGGTATTATGAATGGTTTTGTTTTTCCATATACACAGCGATCTGTTTTAGCTTAAAAAGCATTAGAAAACTTCCCAAATTGAGCATTTGTGCACAATTTTTTTTTCCCCCATAGAATACAATCATTCACAGAGTATAACATGGAATACAAATTTTTGCATTTTCTACTATTAAGCAAAACGTCATATTTCTGAAGGAAATGCAATGCTTTCTTTTTCATCAGCCAGAAACTCCACAGTCCCATTATGATCCCTTAAAAAATAAAAATAAAAAGCACTCAATGCAACAAAAATAGACACCAATGACAGTTAAATTTAAGGTGGATAAGCATATGAATACCTAGGTCAACTTTTAAGTACATTTTGGCAACATCGTGCGATACATGTTTTGGAGATATAATGTGTTGCCTTGTGTATACTTTTCAAGAGGTGCAAATAATCTGAAGTACCAGCATTTTTTTTTTTTTCCAAAATTAATTTTTTATTCTGTTAAATTTGCATGTCTGTATATTTTCACATATGTTCTGCTCATTCTTCATACATTTCTTTGTAAACTGCATTGTTTATCAATTCAAAAATTGCAAAGCTACTTCCAGTATTGAGACTAACTCATTTCTAGCTCACTGAATCCACATTACTCTAATCCAAGTTCCTTTGTTATTAGTGACTTCAGCAAAATGAGTTTCAAAACCACTAAAATCATTTGCATGGGGTGCTATGTCACCTGTATATTCAATAAAGTTTCTGATGTAGTAGATCTATCAAGATTCTGTTAAAATAAGGATATTTTCTCTGCCGGCAACAGCTATCAGGCTGTAGAATGAATGGTCTGAGGATAGATATGTACTGTGATATGGGGAACCCCAGAAAATGTTTTAATGTGTATCATATTGCATAACCTTAAAACTGCACTAAAAAAGACTTGAGTGTATAAAGTGGGGAGAAAATTATCATTCATGTTTTTAAAAAATAATTTTTTGTGAGAAGTTGAAGAGTAGTTTTTAGTTTGTTTTTAAATTTTCAAACTGAACCATACTGAATCCTGACTGACTGAAACCAGACTATTGTTGCACTTCTAAAAAGCAGAAAAGTCTTTTAGCCAATAATAACATTAAGTTTCATAAACCAGAACCTTGATTTGCCAATGGGAATAAAGTAAAACCATAAAAGTATCATGCTTAATCTACCCCTCATTTAAGCTAAGTATTTCTGCTTAGCTTCTCCATCTTGCTTGCTCAGTATTTTTTTTTTCTTTCTTTTTCTTGCTTATTTTAAATATATTATATAAATGTGAAAAACAAAAGTGTTACCTCTAAAGAATAGACACTAATGACAGTCTTGCACCAGTTTAGCTGTGTATGTCTGCTTCAAGAACATTTTCTCAGAGGGGGAAAAATTGTTCAACTGGCTGTGATTGCATTTACATCTTCAGGCATCACGTACTACATCATCTGCATCAAAATTCTTACTATATGTATATTTTCCTTATTGTTTACTTTACCTGTTTTAGTATCTTCTGTGTGTACAAAATTAAACATGAATTATTAAAAATCAAACATAAAGAATTCATTTAAGGACTCATCAGAAAGTATCGTTTTAGAAAGTAGTAGTAAGGTTGATTGCTTAATATTTCTATTAATGTCTTTAGGATTACAACCAAGCCCTCAAATTATTGTCTAAATTTCTAAGTATTGAACCCACCAACAGGCAAGCTCAAGTATTGCAAAAATATATCAAAGATAAAATGAAAAAAGGTAAGTATAAAATCCACCTTGCATATATATGATTTCTAGCGGGTGTGTGTGTGTGTGGTGTTTTTTTTTTTTTTTTTTTTTTTTTTTTCTCCCAAGTTATATGTAATTAAAAAGGAAAGGAATTTTAAGGAATGGCTTTCAAAATATAAACAGACACCAAAATAGCTCTGGAGAATTTCCTGTATAAAATTCCTGAAGATATGTTAAAATTGGTTCTCTACACTAAAGTTTCTTTTATCTACACTAAATTTCAAATTGATTTATTTGCTTTCAGCTGATGAAATGCACTTGTAACTAAGAAATATTTTTTAAAATCTTCAATGAAAGTACTTTAAAAAATTAGTTTCCAAAAAAGTTAGTTCTCCTTAAGAAATTAAATTTCCAAATCTAAGTATACTCATTTATGTATATCTCATTGTCTAATATTTGATACTTTATTAATTTTTTTAACTCATTTGTGTTAACTCTGTATAATATCCACCTATGACTGGTTAGTTATTATAAGTGGTTCTTGCTCATGTACACAAATACACTTTATGATCCTATTTCATAAGTATTTCACTTGGTTCATATCTGTAAATATGGGTATTAAACCAGTTATTAGAACTATCTAAATTATTCCTCAATCTAGTCTGGAACAATTCTCAATCTAGATATATTTTGTATTGTTTTCTTTAGAAATTTTTGCATTCATTAGGTAATATAAATCATTGAAGGGTTGAAAATGGTGAACCTAGCAGGTGAACTGTTTAAAACAAATATAATATATGGTCTAAAATATTGATTAAAGCTACATAAATAGTTAGAGACTCTTAAGTAAAAAAGGAACATTTTGAAAAAGATGCATTTACTACTTATAATTAATAGATTGTTTTTCAGTATAGTTTACAATTTATTAATGGAATATATTAAATATTTTTTAAATGATAAAAAGCATCTTTACCTATTAAGGTAGAATAAAGATTAAATACCCTTTCATGCTTGTTGATAGGAAATATATTAATAGTATAAGATGAGCTAAAAATGAAAAGTAGATTTGAAGACATCAAAAATATCCTTTGTTTCCAAGCTTTGTTAAAAATATGTCATGTTTTTGTGGTGGTAAATCCAAAACTGATATTTCAAATAACGCAACCTCTATGTATTTTGAGAGAATCTCGATAGAGCGCATTGATCTAAAATTGAATAATTTTGTGATCATAAAACAGTTTGCCCTTAAAAAAAGGGTCTTGTTATCTCTTTAAGTACTTTAGTACCTCTTATTTAAATCAACAACAAACTTAAATTTTGCCAAATGTATATTTCTGGTATGTATCATGCATAGGTTAATAATTTTTTTCTATAAGTATATATATAGGATGTTTTCAAGACCAGATCATTATTGGGAATAATACTAGTTTGAAATTTTGAATTTAACCAGTATAAGAGTAAATTGCGCATAAAGGGAGCAATAGTCATTGCATATTATCAGATTTGTATCAAATTTCAGATACTGAGTTTGATAAAATCGTGAATAAAACTCAGTAAACTTCGGAACCACAATTTTTTGGGGGGAGAAGGGTAAAAGCATTATTATATTTCCTATGTGAAAAAATATTTTAATGTATTTATATTTCTTTGAATGTGGAATTAAAAATTTATCATAACTCTTATCAAAAATGTAATAATCTGATTAGGCCTTAACAAATTTTGGAGTTGTACTATTCTAATGATAGTAGTCTTAAAATTCAATTAAGTATCTAATAAAATTCCTATTTATTGATCATGAAAAAATTAACCCAGAGTATTGTTAAATTTACATAAATTTAAGGGCATGCCTTTCACAGATCTATGATTCAGGGAACATGAATTTTAAACCTGTGTTTATGTAATGAAACCAGGTTTAATATCATGTAAGAATTTGGGAACTTTTTGTAACAATTGATAATAAAAATGTAATGAACAGTAGTTATAAAAAGCATTGATTGTATTTTAAAGAAACAAAAAAGATTTGCTTGCAGGCACAAATTATCAGGCTCTTTTGCATTTTAAGTGAAGCCACATCAAAAAATATTACTCAAAAAATCATTTTATGTTTTAAACCAATTTTAGCCATTGTTTCATCTACATTACCTAATACTTTTAAGGTATTGTCATTGGCATCAGATGTAATGAATTTTGTTTTCACGTGCTAGAACCTCATTTGTTCTCGCAGAGATGATTTTTCATGTCTGTTTCAGTCTGCATCATCTTTTTTGGAAGCAAATTAATCAACTGGTACATTCTATCCATCATAAATTCCTTCAACAGTTTAAGTTAATAAATATTAAGCTGGTAGTCAAAATTTAAAGAATCTGTGAAGTTCTGTCTTTCAGAGCTACATTTTCTTTTTACAGCTGGTAGTATAGCGTCCAGCTTATCCTTATTTTGGCTTGGAAAAGTAGGCCTGTTTTTCAAAATATATGTTTAATCATTCTGTTGATAGCATTACAGTACTTTTAATTTGCATATCTTCTGAAAGGTGAGGTTTTAGTTTAATGGTTTTTAGTTAGCAAACTTTTTTTTACATTAAACATTTGTCATAAAGATTACCTCTTAAATTTGGGTATATCTTATTGTATAGTGTGTGTCACCTGAAAAATAGGTGTTTGCCACCTACCTATATAGTTGTCATTCATGTCTTGGCCATTCCCTTTGAAAGCTTATAAAGTGTTTTTATCATGATTTATAGTATAGTATTGTATTGATGGTTCAATTAAGACATATAATTGATTGAGAAAAACACTTCATTAAGTTAGAGATAATATGAACATTAAATTAAAACTGTGCTGTATTTTACCTTATAGTGTGAGAATGTTATATGGATTTTTATAGGATAAGAATGCTGCGCAAATTCATATATGATATTTACTGTATTCACTTGCATAGTGAGAAAATCAATTTTTATATTAACTGTTTTTAATATGTATTTATTCATTATTCTATATTTCAAACAGAAATTTTTTGTTTTATTAATTAGAGGGACTAATTGGCATTGCCATTGTTGGGGGAGCGGCTCTTGCTCTTGGTAGCATAGTTGGCATTTCAATGGCTCTGGCAAAAAAGTAATTTCATGTAAGTAGTGATATTATAGATTAATGTGTGTATGTTACAAGTATATGGTTATAACTGTGTACTGAATTTACCATGTTAATGAATGATTATTCATAGTACATGTGCTTGTGAAGAATTTAAACATTTTATAGTTTTACATATTGATACTTGTATGATACGTCGTTGATGTTTAGTGGACTGTATTTTGTTAACTTGCTATTGCACACTTTCAGTAGAACTTAAAGAAATCATATAGTTCATATAGTCATAGTCTTGACTGAATGTCATTTATTATCTTCTTAAAACGTCATGTTGGCTGAAGAGCAGCAACTCGCCAAAACATGGCGAAACCTTGAATTTTACCTTCCTATCTCAAGGCACATCTCAAAGAAACATCTACATTGTTGGAACCAGGGCTATGGAGTGGGTAGTAAATGTAAACATATACACTGACTACCAATAAGTATTTGGACAGCTATGCAAATGACAATATCTGCGATCCTAAGGTACGTCACGGACTCCGCCGATATATATCGTGTAGGAAACAGCATCGGCTTTAGTCGCATGCAAGATGCCTCGCAGTTTGGAGCTCTCTGATTTCGAGATAGGTATAACAGGGTTGCCACGCTACCTGGAAAACCGGGAAAAGTCAGGGAATTCGAAAATTGACCAAAAAATTCAGGGAAAAGTCCGAGAATTTAAGTATTCTTGGCAAAATCTGGAAAAGTCAGGGAAGTTCATACAATGATCCCGCCAAAAAAACCGATTTTTGCGCCTACGTCGGAAGAGATAACTTTTTTGGCGAATTGCGTATCACGTGAGTGTCATTCGGGCAGCTGGCATAGAGCCAATTTTCGCAGCTCCAATTTGATTGTCTTTTAGAAAGGCAAAGCAAGTTTCCCGCAACTTTTGGTTTCCAGTATTCTCGAGGCCCACCAGCGACCGAGCGGTAAAGTCGCTGAACACTGGTAGTTCGGTCCGAGGTTCGAATCCCGCGAACGGGCTGGCTGCATGGGCGTTTTCGTGGTTTTCCCCATGTGTAACGTGTATACGAGCCAGTTTCCCTTAGAAAGTCCTCCACGAAAGGCATCCCTCCCTTTAGGCAGATAGCCCTCGAGGCTTTGCCATAATCACACACACACACACCCAGTATTCTCGAGAATCGCATGTGCAGTGCATGAACTAAAGAAAGTACCTGTTCTCGTATAAAACAAAATGGGTTTAATCTTAGTATACGGTACCATGGAGGTTAGAATCAAAGAATATATATTGTAAAGAAGGAAAACCTCTCTGCAACAGACGTGGCTTCGTTCCATCATAGAGGCCCACCAGCGGCCGAGCGGTAAAGTCGCTGAACACTGGTAGTTCGGTCCGAGGTTCGAATCCCGCGAACGGGCTGGCTGCATGGGTGTTTTCGTGGTTTTCCCCATGTGTAACGTGTATACAAGCCAGTTTCCCTTAGAAAGTCCTCCACGAAAGGCATCCCTCCCCTTAGGCAGATAGCCCTAGTGTGCTTTGCCATAATTAAATACACCACCACCACCACCATTCCATCAAAGTGGGAAACAGCTGTGCATGCGTGATGTATCTGCTGCCAAAGCTCGAAACCGGTGTCGAAGTTCGAAAGTCACGTTATCAAGAGTTCATTAAATGAATATCCTTTAAAATTTCTTTAACCACTTGCGCTAAAAAGACGTGCCACGCACGTCGAGATGTTTTTGTCTCAAACTGCGAGCGACGTGAACACCACGTCGATAAGGCATTTATCGCAAAAATGAAAACAACATAGTGCACACGCTGCCTAACAACGAGATTGTTTATTTTCTCGAGTTACAGCTGTGGATTGCGTGGTGCACACGTCGCCTAACAACGAGATTGTTTATTAGCTCTAGATTGCACTCGCAGACGCAGAGCGGCATAAAATGAGACACGTATACCGCTTGTTATATTGTAGCGCACGGCACCGCACCGTGAAGTTTAAGCGCAGTGGTTAAACGCTAAAGGAAAAGAAATATTTTTTTGGCGCAAGTAAATTATTCAGGGTTAGTAATTTTCAGGGGGGGAAAACTACGAAAATCCGTTTTTAAAATTATTGCGAAAAATCTAAGAAGAAACGTCCTTTGATATAACCTTTCTCTTGGATTTTTCGCAATAATTTAAAACGGATTTCGTAGCTTTCTTTTTGTCAAAGAACGTTTCTTCTTAACACGTTTCTCAATTTCCGGTACACATTGCGGAGAGGGGAAATTCTGGCCGCCAGGTTCCGTCGCCAAATCCCTTGGCATATTTTCCCTCCGCATTCTAGCGGCGTAATAGCATTTTTACTTGTATGGAACCTTTTCTCTTTACATAGACCAAAGAATTAGAGATTCTTTGCATAGACGTTCTTGGTTAGAATAATCTCCATGTATGTACAATGGGATTTGGCGACATGATGATGCGCAGTAAACGGGTCATTTTGGTCTTGGCGAAATTTTCAAAATCGTGCCAAAGCCTTACCGTATACTAGAATTTTACCGCAAAAATCTTTTTAAACTCTTTTTTTTTTTTTTTTTTTTTTTTTTTTTTCTCTTTTTAATAAATACCTTGCCATTTTGCAGTAAAATAAAAAAAATAGTAATCTGTCATCTAGGCTAACCATGTAAATAAACTATATTTGCTAAAATATCGTTGATTATTCTAATTCAATTTTTAAGTAATTATCTTTATTTTTTTGTTATTCGTATAATTTAATGATCTTCTTCCCTCTAAATTTATTTATATTAGTAAATAATATTTCCAAATTTCAGGAAATTTTCTCTGGCATAATCTTGAAATTAATTCTAGCAGTATGATGACATACCATCACGAAATTTAATGCACATATTTTTTTCCTTATGTATGCTGCAAATAAATATAAAATACCTCAATTTATTAAATAGATTTTTTCTTTCGTTTAGCTGCAGAATGTCTGTAAAAAAAGCCTTATTTTATTCCAGATTGGGAAGATTCTAATCTCAATCTTCAATGGAGAAAACAACAACTATTATAATTATATTTGTCTTTTCAAGTGTTAAGGTGCTTTTTAAGAACATACCTCACACAAATTAAAATTTACCTAAAATCTAACCTAACTATTTAGCATTGCGTTGTGATTTATTAGCCTCGTGTTGAACTGGTGATGATCATGAGTAATAATTAAATAAAACATACATTTGTTATCCAATTTATATATCTTAAATTTTATTAAGTTTCTTAAGTGGAAAAGTAAACAAAATTATCAAACAAAGTATACCAAGAATAATTAAGAATAAATGTCCTCTGGGATTTATTGAATAATTAAGTGAATTTGCTACACAATACAAGTAATACCATAATTAATTTACCTTTTAGTGTAGCCAAAGTACATTACGTGAATAGACTAGAATTTTCTTGAAACACACCTGGAAAACCTGGAAAAGTCAGGGAATTTCATTCTAAAGAAATCACATAGTTCATATAGTCATAGTCTTGACTGAATGTTATTTATTATCTTCTTAAAACGTCATGTTGGATGAAGAGCAGCAACTCGCCAAAACATGGCGAAACCTTGAATTTTTACCTTCCTATCTCAAAGCACATCTCAAAGAAACATCTACATTGTTGGAACCAGGGCTATGGAGTGGGTAGTAAATGTAAACATATATACTGACTACCAATAAGTATTTGGACAGCTATGCAAATGACAATATCTGCGATCCTAAGGTACGTCATGGACTCCGCCGATATATATCGTGTAGGAAACAGCATCGGCTTTAGTCGCATGCAAGATGCCTCGCAGTTCGGAGCTCTCTGATTTCGAGATAGGTATAATTATCGGGTATCGCAAATGTGGCCGATCCTTAAGGCACATATTTAGCGATCTGAAGTACCCAAAATCGACAGTGGCCTATGTGATTAAGAAGTGGAAGGTGAGCGGTGATTGTCAGAATGTGTCCCGAGTCGCCAGACCAACGAAACTGGGAGATAGAGACCGACGAATGCTGTCCAGAGAAATTCGGAAGAACCGCACCCTACCGATGGCCCTCATCCACGAGGAGTTTTTCATGGCCGTGCTGCTGCCCATAAGCCTTTGATCACAAAGTCCAACCACGCTGCTCGGTTAATATGGTGCAAAGCACATCGAAATTGGACCGTAGATCAGTGGAAACGGGTTCTTTGGAGTGACGAATCAAGGTTCACCCTTTACCGTTCAGATCGCAGGGTCTGGGTCTGGCATCTACCTGGAGAATGTCTCCTGCCAGAATGCATTGTGCCAACAGTCAAGTTCGGTGGAGGTGAAATTATGGTCTGGAGGTGTTTCTCCTGGTATGGGCTGGGACCCTTGGTCCCCATGCATGGTAAGCTCAACTCCGATGCCTACTGCACTATTTTGGATGACAATGTGCTTCCTACGTTGTGGCAGTTTTACGGGTTGGACCCCTGTTACTTTCAGGACGACAATGCCAGTTGTCATGTTTGGACGTTAACCAAGGCTTGGTATGGTGCTAATGGAATTCATCGAATGGACTGGCCTGCCCAGAGTCCAGACCTGAATCCTATTGAGAACCTCTGGGACGAGTTGCATCGCCGAATTCAGGGATGCACTACCCGTGAAAAATCGGTGAAGGAACTTCTATGTCTTCAAGCCGAGTGGAAGAAAATACCACTAGCTGTCATACAAAGACTTGTGGAAAGTATGCCCTGGAGGGTCCACGCTGTAATTACTTCTCGTGGAGGCTCTACCAACTATTGATTCTGAATAAAGTTAGCTTTTCTTTTCTGTCACAGGTGTCCAAATAACTATTGGTAGTCAGTGTATATACATGTGTTACAGTTTTTTTTTTTAATATAAAAGAAGTAATAGATGCTACCAGGGAAAAAAATTTATTGCATAGCAAATTATTTATATTAATTAGCATTTATTATGAAAGGGAAAAACTAACATTAGTAATTTCTAAGAAACAGTATAACTTCAGCAAGATCTTTGTTAGAGGACCAGGGATCTGATTTGATAAACTTAAGAGCTGAAAAGAGTCTTTCCACACTAACTTGAGTAATAGGAAGAACTGTTACTGTTAGGGCTAGTTCTTCTAACTTTTCAGGATAGATTTTTATAAGTTCTAAAAGAAATGTCTTGCAAGAGCAGTCATATTTCTCTCTTTGTTCAAAGGCTGTGTAAAAATTTTGTTTGTATTTTTTCATTTTTATATCTAAAGGTTGTTTGTTCTTTATTTTCATTTGCTTTGCCTGAGCCTTTTCAATATTATCCAAATATTTCTCAAAATCTCATTGCTGGAAGAGGATGATAGAGACTCAGTTGCAATGTCTGCAGTTTGACTGTCCTGATTCGAATTCTCCAATTTTTCTGAGAATAATTTCTTTCTTAATGAAAGTTCATGTATGGCTTTCTTTGCCTTTTTAATTTGTTCGTCATCTAACAAAATTCGATGTTTTGGATCTACGTATATTGAACTCGGCAAGATCTTGTTGTCTAGCAAACTAGTTTCTCTTTTCTTCATTGAAGAAATGATTCCTTCTCCAATAAGCCCTCCATGTCGGAAAGAACAAACATCACATTCTTCCATTGTCGCCTCCTGTTAATTCTTCAGCTTGTAGCTTTTTTGTGGCTATATACGGTATAGAAAGAAGAGTTTCCAATTCTTCAAGATCATTCCACAGTCTTTCTGTAAGTGAAATATTAGGGTTATCTGCGTCTTCTAAAAAAGTTCTTAATTCTAACAAATCATCAAATATGTACTTCGCCATCGTGTTGTTTGATCAATAATTGCTCTTTTTCCTGTTCTCTTTGAATGGCATCAATTTGGGAAGTTGTTGCTGCTATTGCTGCTTACCTAAATTTATCAATGGAATTTATAACTAAATGAATCAGTTTAATCAATAATGACAATTGTCACATTCATCCTCCTCCCTTATATTTATTTGTTAATATGTCAATAAAATAGAAAATAACTGTTTATTAATGTATATAATTCATAAATAAAAATAGTAACTCAGTTTGTCATTAATAAAATGTTTCTTCAATTCACTATCATTTCATTTCAAATTCAAACTGTCCAACAAAAACTGGAGTTGACGTGCTTATAATGATTCCGACTCCTTAATGCAGCTCCCTTTAAGGAACATTTGAAATATTGCTATTTTTGTGCATCCCATAAATTTTTCATTATCCACTATTGCTACTTTAAATAAATCACTAAAAGGTAACCATTCTTTAGTACTACCACTAAATATAGGAAGAGTTAGCTTAGGTAAGTAAATGCTTGCTATTTCACAAGATTTAGCCTCCACACTGATATCTTTAACTTTCTTAAGATTAACTCTGGTCAGCAGTAAAAATAACTCATCAACAGTGTTTTGCATATCTTGTTGTTCTTCATTAAAAGCATCAGTATATATTACTTATAACTGAGCATAATCAGCAGAGTCATAACTCACAGTAATTTTATCTTCTAGTTTAGTTAACGTAGCCTTAACTACATGCTTCTTCATCTTAGGCATTGTAATTTCCATTGCCTAATCACAAAGACATAGAAATGCATCACCTCATCAATTTTACCTGCAGCTCTGTCCTCGGCGAACCAAAAGACATATGTATGATCCGTCATTGATGTTTACTGGACTGTATTTTGTTGACTTGCTGTTGTACACTTTCAGTAGAACTTAAAGATATCACACAGTCGTAGTCTTGACTGAACATAGTTTATTACCTTCTTAAAATGGCACATTGGCTGAAGAATGGCGACTTACCAAACATGGCGAAACCTTCCTACCTCAAAGCACATTTCAAAGGAACATCTTTGTCATTTGAACTACAGTAACTCCCTATGAAGATCCAAGCACATGGTTAAAAACCCTAACTAATTTTTATTTGCACCGCTCCTCAGCTTAGTGATTAGAAATACAATTTGCATAACATCAAACACCTGTAAAACTGAATTATGTAACTGATAAAAGACCTGGATTATAATTATTATTTACATTTTTTCAGTGTCATATGTTTTTATAGTCATATACTGTGAAACATTTTGTAGACAATAGTGGCCAGCATTATTATATATACTTTTTTTTAAACATAATCCTTCATTAACAGCATTTACATGAAACACCAATGTCTTATGGATGTGTGATGGTCATCTTAGGAAGGTTTCACTGCATAAAAGCAAGATCAAATAAATCCAAAATTATGCTGCATATTCTTTAATTTCTTTACTACCAAATTGAGTAAAAATTTTATATGAATATGCTACAACCCAAAATCTAATCATTTTGTTGGCTGCTTTAAGCTTTGGCTAACTCATGTGAACAAAGCCTAAAATAGCAATAATTTACCAATAGCTTGGGCTTCAACCACATTAGCTGGTCCATGTCAATTACTTTTTAAATGGCAGTACTAGTTACCAATGGTTGATATATAAATGCTGTGTGAAATAGTAATATATAGGATATTGTTTCTGATAGAAAAAGAACTGGCAACTAATAGGCTGTGATTCTGTAAACTGCATGAAGCTATTTTATATGTATGCATATTGGATGATTTTGTCTGTAGATGAAAAAAAAAAAACTTAGCAAGCACCAAATTTAGAATTATTGGTACTTCAGAATGATTGTTAAATATTGTTTGTCAGTAATACAGTGTTTTGAAAATGTGATAATAAGTTTAAAAAAAAAAACTTGCAAATTCCCAAAACTTAAAAATATGTTATCTGCGAGTTTTATTGGTTCGCATTACTTTATTAAACATCGTGTTTTGATCTTCCCCACCACCTTCTGTGTATTGGTTTTGGATAAGTTATTATTCCTCTGAGCAACATCTTTATTTTTATGTAATTATGTTATTTATTGTCACTTACATTGCTTTTTAAAATATTTTGTTTTCTAATTATATGTAATGATCTAAGTATAATCCTAATCAAAGAAAGATTACAAAAACACAAGATAAAATAAGTAATTTAGGCAAAATGAGTTAATAAGTGTAGTTTAAATCCATCTCTAAAAAGTTATGCTGCTCAAAGGGTTATGAAATTGGTTTTGATGGCATAATTCAAAGTTGCTCTTAATTTTTTTATTTTTTTTGCATTTCTTTTAAAAAGAACTAATTGAATTAACATTATTGTGTTTCCATTTTTATTTTTTATTGGTGCCTTCTTGATGCAGTTTTTTTAATTTGTATGAATTTCCTGAATAATTCCCATTATATTTATATAATGTACGTGTATTTTGTTGAAATTAATTTTTTTCCCCACTTCATTTCATAGCCATGAAGTTCCATTCCATGTTTGTCATCACTGTTTTGCTTGGACCAGAATGGAACAATATGGCATGTAAAATATGTATAGTGTGAGAAAGTTATAGATGATTTTTATGTAGCCATATGCATTGTATCTATTTATTATAAAAGAAATAAACTTTTAATTGCCATTATGTACTCTATATATTGAAACACGATTATAAAATTGAACACAATCAACAATAACTCTTATATTTTTATGATAGTAGCGATATGCATATCACTTGAATTATGACTTTGAATAAAAATACAATTGAAAACAATAAAAGTAACTTTTTAATTCTCTAATATGTGGAATTATATAAATATGTGTACAGGAATAGTTGACTGGTTTTACAGCTGTTTAATGTGTGAAATTTTGTCATGTAAACTACATAAATAATTTTGGTTTTGAGTAATGAATATATGATGCATTACTTTTTGGCATATGTCATTCTGATGTCTTATCTATCAAAAATGTGATGAAAGTCATCATTTAATTGGAATTTTTTTTTTTTTTTTTTTTTTTTTTTTTTTTGTAATAATGTATCTTGTGCTATTTACATGTGGTTTTTTTTATACTTGCGTGATATTGATAAATTTATGTTTTTGTTGTTGTTTACCTCTTAATTGAAAATATGATATTTTAATAATAATCAAATGGTGTCTTATTTTTATGCTGTGGAATTTCAAATATAAAATAAGCATATTTATTTGTTATAAATCAAAATCAGAATCTGTTTGAAAAATCACAAAACTTTTCAATAATTTTCAATTTAAACGTTTTCAATAATTTATGAAATGTTTTGCTTTACGATGGTTGTCAACTCTATAAATGCCTTACTTTGTGAACTATTAAAATGATAGTTGTGAAGCTGTTTATTAAAACTATGAAACATTTTAAGTAATTAAAAAGTTAAGCTTTATAGTGTTTCTGGATTGATGTCAAAAACAAAAAGCTATTTGTTTTTATCATTAATTCAAATGTTGTATTTTTTAAGCCTTTAATTGTAATTGCATTTAACTCTCACATTAAAAAAAATCTTTTCTATGACACAATAGAAAATATTTACAGATTATCAATAATACATGTGTGTGTGTGTGTGTGTGTGTGTGTGTGTGTTTCTTTTGTGTTTACTTAAATTAACAATTTAATTGTTCCTTATTTCTAACTTTTACAGAACCATATATATTTTTAATAACATGTAATACAAATATAGTTGCAGCTTTCTTCATGTTGCGAAATTTGAACTCTGCCAGTTTCTGTGGTGTTTTGTAGCAAACCAAAAACTTGATGCAGTTCATTCTCACCTGAGAATTCATTACATCTCTGCATTTATGTGGTTATTTAATAGATTCACATTTTAGTATGAACATCATTAGAAGGTCTAAGGATGAATTTATTGCTAGTGTATGCCTAGGCCATTTAAATAGTAAACATTTATTCTGAAAATGAGGATTGGTTTTATTTTATTTAGTATTTTGGCAACTTATGATGCTTATATCAGTATCTCTTTGTCACTGCATTAAACCATGATTTGAGGCTCGGCGTGTGTAGCCTATGAAATCAACATATTTATTTAGTTTTGTACCTGGGATTAAACATGAAAGGGCTAATTTAAGTAAATACGAAGCAAAATAAACAGAATATGCTTTTGATCATGGTGCTAAAAGTTATGTTAATATTTGCACTACTTGTTAATGGGAAAATTTCAGAACACTGATAGTTTATTTGTATGCTCTATTTATTATGCAAAGTATAAAGTTGCTAAATATTTTGGTGTGGTTACAACACATTTTTAACATATTTTTGTTGATTACAAATAGAAGCTATAAATACAAATATGAATTTTAAGATTTGCTTAGGAAGAATGTGATAAATTTTTGCTACATATCAAATTAGACGAGTGAAATCAAATACATGCAAAAATATCCTTCTTGTAGCTTAAATATGAAATTTTTTATAAATATTGTTAAAATTATGCACATGACATATACATAGCTGCCAACTGTCCTGGTTTTTTGTTATGTCTCCCGATAGATCCCTGAATTTCGTGGTTTTTAATTTTTGACCTGAACTAATGAAACTGTTTTTCAGCTATAAAATTAAAATTGCGTAAATTTCATTCCCCTATCCCTATGATCTTCAGCATAATTTTTCTTATTAAATTTGATTTGATATGAATTGTCTTAATCTACTGTAGACATTTATATAAAGATTCAAGCAATGTTTAATCAGTAAATATTTTATTTAATTTTGTTTTAATCAATATGTAGAGTCATTAGGCCCATTTTGGAAAAGGTAATATAAAAAATGGGCATTGCCTTTATGGGAATTTGAACTTCAAACTCTCTGAATGCTAGCTGTACATGCTTCCAGTTACACCATGAAGTCAAGGGGGCCTTTGGACCTAGTCGGCAAATCCTGGTAGTGATGAATTATTGCCCACCACATTTTAGTTTGCAGCACTGTAGATCAATTTTTGTATTTTTATAAGCAGGAGATGTAAAAAATGTACGTTGCTCTAGCCGAGAATCAAAGTCTGGACCGGATTGCTAGCCCGATATGCTTCCAGTCACACCACAAAGGCAGGCAATAAGGAAGGGAGGGGGAAATCCTATAAATATATGGTACATTGCTAAGCTTATCCGCACAACAGTATGTACTTTAATTATATATTTTATTTTTACTGGATTTAAAAGTACTTCAATAAATTAAAGCTTTCCTCACCTACTCAGAATTTTCTCAGCATAAAAGCGTAAGAATAATATAAAGTGAAATTAGCCAAATAACATGAAATTTAGATTATGTAATTAAATATTAATATACTTTATTTCAGAATTATTATAAAAAGTGAATAAACTGAATCTTGTTACAAAGGAAATTCGAGTTAATTTTAGTTTTTTAAAAATGGTGTTACAAAAACCTCCCTCAAACTCCCAGTTTTTCCTATTTTAGGGTTGGCAGCTGTTTATCTATGATACTTCATTCATAATTTGAATCGGATATATTATTTTTATAAACACCTTATAAGGTGGTTCTGCATGCTGGGCCGGTTTTCCAGAGGTCTGTGGTTCGATTCCCTGCGAAGGTGTTTGCTAATTTTTCATCTCTCCGGCCTCCAAAAAAATCCTAATGTCTCTACAACCTTATTATTTAATAATCAAGGACAGAAAAATAAAATTGGGAAGAAGTGATCAGCATTCTTCACATCAATACATATGTATTATATCCATGAAATTTCTAATACTAAATTAGCTAATAAGATGAAAGATAAGCAAAAGTGTGTGTGAAATATGTATTTTCAGAAATTGTGTTCTATGTTAAATTTGATGTTTGAACATCCTTTCTGAAATTTGCTTTTGATTTTTAAAAGAATTTAGTACTTTGTACATCATGTTTTAAAAAGAATGTCAAACAATCCAAAGTCTAGCAGATGGCTAAGCTGTCTGTAGTCTACAGTTTCCTCATTGAGTTTCAGTGGAAAAATTCAAAATAACAAAAGAGTGTCAAAGAGTCTGATTTGAATTTCTGGAACATTAGTTTAGGTATATTGTTTTATTTTTCAGTTCATATTGGCAGTATGTTAGTTTTCAATCTCAGTAGCTTTGTTTTTTGCACCTTTGCTTATTGGGGGGGGGAAAGAATCACATAGCCTTCATTACATTATTTTCATAGCCTCTTACAGTTTCTGCTCAATATGTCGAAGAAAGTAGATTAGCAATGGCCTCACAATATATATGATTGACTTAGCAGACTGGGGTAAAGGAGATTGAAGAATTTTTGTGTGAGTTATTTGCATGGGCTGAGCTCATATATTATAACAGATGAGCAGCACAAAAATATAGTTGTTCTGTGTTATCATTGTTTTATGTTTCAAAATTTGTGCTAGTGGGAGATAGCTACTTCTTTTTGTTTTTATTTCAGTATTTTAATTGAGCCTGCATTTTCCAGAGTTGTAATGAAATGTGGGATGTTTCAAGTAGATATGGAATGTCATTCTTATACAATTTAAAGTTTCTGTGAATGTAACCAAGATAAAAAAAGTCAATTGTGTAAGAAATTTACTACTTTCAAAATTTCCAAGAGCAAGGAAAGTAACAGTTAAAGACTAATAGAGTCGGTGTTTTATAAAAAGTTATTCTGTTTACAAAATGCTTTAAAATTTACTATCAAATTATCAGTATTAAATGAAATGTTACATTCCAGAGTATTGGAAAACTTCAGCTCTGTCCTTCCATGTGATAGACTGTTCAGAGTCTACTCACTAATTAATAAAAAATATGTATATGTACTTATATATCGGATATATTTATAAATTTTAATAAATAAATAAATATGTTTTTCAAAATTTCTGTATGGTTTTTGAGAATAAATGCTCTACATTAGATTATTAAAGATCTCGCTAAATTCTGTAAATTTCTGATATCAGTTGCAAATGGATTCATTTCAAATGATCTGCTATTCATTATTCCCTTCGAGAAGGACAACATGTTTCCATTAACGTGAAATACAAAATTTTGAATGGGCTAAAATAATGAAAGCTGGTTCAGTCAGAGCTCATAAAACTAGTCTTTTGCGTATATATATGTATGTGTGTGTGGAAGATAAAAAATGTGTAAATCAAAATTATAACTTAAAAAGCCTCTTAATTCCTTTTTTTTTTTTTTTTTTTTTTTTTAATTTGGGTACTTTCTCTCTAGTAATAACATTCTTGAAACTGCATCATATATAAAAAATAATTCTGCATTATGTCATTTTTAACTTCTGCATTGCCTCTAAATTTTAGCCAATCAAATTGATGAAAAATTATACTGAATTTTTTAAAATACTGTTGCAATTCAACTACCCTCTTTCTTTCTCTGCATACGCTTACAAACTAAAAGACGTTCTCTTTCTTGAATGCTTCTGTTAACCCTTTGACTAGGAAGTAAAAAAATAAAGATACCCCATTTTCTATCTAGGTGAACAAAATATGCCATAAATAAGGTAAATTTAACATTTGGGATTTTTCTGACAAACAGTTTTCAAGCCAAAGAATGGAACATATATGTCTTGGCCATAGTTAATGGTGGGATACATATGTCCCACACATAGCGATCAACTTAATATAAACACCACTATTATTCTGGAAAACTTTAGTATATGAAATAG